TTATGGGAGCACAAATGATAGGGAGTGGCGCAGGACCATTGCTTGGTGCAGAGGTCTACGACGCAGAAATTCTAGGAGCCCAGAAAGCTCTTGAAGCAGCAATGCTGGTAACGGGCACAAGTCCAATCAAAGTGCTCTTAGACAGTTTAGAAGCTGTGAAGACTTTGCGCAGTGGCAGGTCGAGGTCATTTCAGGAAATAGTCGATAAATTTGGCATACTTGTTGTGACACGCTGATTATGATAAGGAAGAACTTAAGGTTTAAAAGGTTATAAAGCTAAAAAGCAAGGCTCTGCCTACGAATTGCTGTTAGATTTTATAGTAATTGGGGCTATCAACTAGGCCACGTACTGTCCTACATAGATATAAATTCAAATAGGAGATAAATCAATAAAAAAAAACTAGGCCACGTTGTTGATACACACGTGACTACAAATTCTATACTTGGTTTTACTTCGGTAGTAATCAGAATCAATGCGCTCTACAACTTCAATGACAGAGGGGTCATTATTTTCCTAATAATTACATATATAATGAGATTTAAGCGAGTAGTGACGAAAATGTCATCAGCGCTTCCATATCGCCAAACCTCCATGGGTATCCTAATCCAACGCCATATCTGTGTACTGGATCCCTAGTCACTTAACAATCGATAGCCAAAACCATCAGTCTTCGAAATTTGGTGGATACCGGGGCACTCAGGCATCTATTGTGATTATGAGGAGAGGAATTGCATACAAACAGTGGCTTTATCAATACGTGCTTGACACTATTATGAAGTAGACAATGATATTTGTTTACTTTATTAGATTCGTTTCCTGATGATTTGTCAGACAGATTACCCTAGGTTTAAATGTTGTCTCATAATGTTTAAGTTGAGTAGTTTACAAGCAAGTAAACTTGGCTGATGCATCAAGGGCAACAACTTAGTCATGCAAATGTTACAACTAGCGACTAGACAGATGGCCAATTTCATACGCACAACTCCTTTGTTGTTTCACTCCTTCTATTGCCCATGATAATGTAACAGCCAATTTTAGACCCATGTATGGAACACAGATTTGAGCAGTTCGTATTGGCAATCTAATATTCAGTCTATATTTGGAATTAGTAGGATACTCAAGATGTATATAGTACCTAGATAGATTCCTCATGGTAGAGGATAATCAATTCAATCAACTCTGAGAGAGATTCATATTAGTATAACTTTGCTTAACATGATTGCTATCTATATGAAGGAGAATACTCCTGTTTATACCTTAAGCTCATCCGTCTAATTGCTAATAGAATATTCCATCTTGTGATGTAAGATATTCTATCATATGCTATACAATAGTTTACATTCTTGTTCTCATCATCCACATGCAACTGTTATGATGTCACTACACCAACCATATCTTGTATAGATCTCTTTATCATCTAATACAGCTTGTCTAATTGGCTGAGTGATTTCACATCAAAACAGTATCGAGGGTAATGAGAAGGCAGACAGGCTTGCTAAAGCGGGCTTTTAGAGTCTACCTGACGAGTGGACGAATGCGACCCTTTCCCCGGAACTTTATCGCAGTATAAAATTCACGTTTGCATCACCGAACAGATTTGTAAGGGAGCGCACGGTGAAACTGGTGGCACTATGACGGAAATGGAGACACGGAGTGTTGTGGACGTACGGGCCCTCCATTTCGTCTAGGTTCCCGACACGATCTTATGTGTATTTAAGAGGTTGGAATAGGTAATATGGTAGCGCTTCAGGCTACCTATTGGACATATGAGCGGCTGTATGGCGTGGGCGCAAGGAGATTATTGGGGGTTTTTTATGCCTAGATGGCGCCACACTCGTTTATGCTGTGGCTTAGGCTCTGTTTCGCTTACACTTGTACTTTTTTTTTTTTTTTTTTTGCATCTTACACTAGTACTTGTAGCGCACATCTACCACACTTTTAGCTTTAATCCGAACATGACACTCTTTTAGTCAACTTCTACTTTCGTTCCATGAATATTGCGCCCATTAAATTGCGCGATATTTCCAACACACTATGGAGGTAGGAAAGTGCACCTAAGTAATATACAGACGGATCTCAAGATTACCCGGAAGCGGCCTCCAGAGCTTGCTCTACCAAAATGGGCTTATCATAAGCTGATAACAGCCAGGACTGGACATTGCGATTTTGCTGATTACCATGAAAGATTCAAACATGAAAATATAGAAATCAAGTGTGAGTATGGATGAGAAACACGCCCGTGGCATTTTGCGGAATGCCGACCGGCTGCACAGCGTTGGAGAAGCACGAAGAAGGAATCCCCTAGGGCAAGCGAGATGTCGGGGCTTCAGGAAGAGAGAAATTCCTCGAATTCTTTACTGTAGTAAAACATTACAATGATAAATTTTTAGGCCGGGTTGCATAGATTCCCCTAAGAGTATCGGTCTTCATGCTTATTAAATTGCTGGGAAAATAGCACATGGCGCAGGGCGCTTACGTTCAGACACTCTGTACTACTTTTCCTTCTCTTTCTTTATTTATAATTCTGATTGCAGATAAAGCCATGCACGTAGGTATCAGTGAGGCTGTCGAGATCACATACCCGTATCACGCCTCATAATTGTAGGGCGTGTGCCTGATACGAATAGCATTCAAATTAGATCATTTGTTAGCGATTCACTCGGTTGGAATAGGGGGACTATTCTCAACACCTGTCAGTGGTGTCCCCTACGAACCTCCAGCTCTCACTATAGAGTCTGCAGAACCGAGATTGAGTAACACCTTATCAACTTTGAGCTGAGTTATCTCCCCCTCTGTCAAAGATACGCTTCCGATAACACATAAGACGACAAAGACGACGATAATGATGCCGAGAATGAGGAAAGATAATGCGGTACCAAACGCCACAACGGTAGTCAGAGAAGCCCTCGTTATATCACAACATGTGCTACCCACCGGCGGGCGAACAAAAAGCCCACGAAAGCAAAGTAAAAGACCCTTCCGCCCTCAAGAAAAGCAGATTTCGACTCGTCTACAATATCGTCCCTACTAATCTTAACTTCCGAATACACTAGCCAGGAGGGCATCCGATATACATGAGTTACCCGACGACCCCACGTCCGTAACGACTTTCGGATGCTAGGCTAGGCTCCTTCACGACGGTCACTCTCGGCCAAGACTTTTCTGACATCCTTTCACGACCTTCGGTTTGTCCTGCGGCATGAATCAAGGGAGGAGTAAGGAGGGGGCTAGGAAGGTTGAAAGACGCTCTTAGGTAATGACGGGATAACGGCTCCTCTTAGTCTGTACTCGAATGAAGAACTGTGGGGGTATTGCTGCTGGAAAGAAGTCGTGAGGGAGGCAAAGGAGGGAGTACACTACCCGAGGCATAGATACTCCCGGCCTGTAGGCAGAAAGGACCCACATGTCCTTACATAGTTATAGACTTTTTAGGACAATAAACACTCACTCACCCGGTTGGAATAGGTTGGGCCTGTGCGCAGTAATCCCCGTCAGCTCCGCCGATCTTATACGTGTAATAAACTTGGACCATCAGCCTAGGACCTTAGTATAAACAAACTCCCTCGAGACTTCCCTGTCTTTTGAACACTACCTTTAGGAACGGGCTGGAGAGATGCCAGAAAGAAAGGTAGTGACCACGTTAGTTACATCAAAATTTGCGGCACCTGACTGGCCGGCCTCTTCGAACGCTTCAGAAGGGGCACTATGTCTTCGGATTTATTCCCAATGTCAGTATTAGAAGAGCCCCGCACTCAGTGGTTTTTTGCGATTCTTCTCGGCTTCCATACACCCGAAAATGGCCATTGTTTCGTTGGCTGGAGAGGGAAGATAATGAAGGGCAAAGGGCTCCTCCAAGTGTATGATCGAATGAGGACTTGTGAGGGGTGGTACTGTTTGAGCGGAGCTGTATGGGAGAGATATACTACTGGCATAGGTATCCTTGGCCTGTGGGCAGAGAGGACCTGCATGTTCGACGTAGTCATAGACTCAGAGAGGACAATATTATGAATTAATTTCGAGAGCAGCCAAATTCTATCAGAACCGAAAGTCGGATTGATGGAAAATAAGTCTCCAGAAATCGCCATTTCTACACCACCGAAACCTGACAAGGGCCCAAAGCAGTCTAGGGATGCAAATAGGAAGTGAGCAGATGGGGCTCAATTCGTGTCTATACAGAAGAAAAGTGCCTGGAGTATGAAGTCCAAGCTGTCCATGTGGCTACCAATCACGGAACCCCAAGCATATGACTATGTTCTGCCCCCGATGGTCAAATGGTAGAGCTGAGATCTAGAGATATGCCAAAAATCGGTTCTACGAAGGGATGATAAACAATCCTGGAGATATCAAAAGGATAACACGGTGGATCCTAAATCATGGTTGGATAGAGTAATTCCAGATGACAAAGGCAGCCGAAATGCGGCTGAGGGAAAGGAACAGGTCAAGTAATGCTTGGGGCGGTTAGAGATGAGGTGGTTGGTCTACATGGATGGCAATATAGTGTAACTGCGCTTCCTGAAGAAAATATGTGAAAAGTAAAGACAACAATCGGAAAGGTGTGGGGGGTTTTCATCATAAAGGTTTCCTCCCGTGTAAATATTACAGATTTTAGACACCTGCATGAGCCCATAGGGCGCCAAATCAGGATAATGAAATCAAATGAAATATGAATTAATTAACTCCCTTCACAGGTTTTACTTCTCGTCAGTAACTTAATAAGCGCAAACATAAATAGAAATGGGATCCACAGTACCCCACGGTAGTCCCCGTCCAAGGTGTGGCAGTGGTGGCGCAGCAGTCACCGGAAAAGACATAGTCTAATGCCCACATGAGGTTCCGCCGTACTTTGTTAAGGAGATTTATGTAGTTCGACAATTTAAAGCAACCTTCATCCAAAATACTCTTACATCTCAGCGGCAACAGGCGCTAAGCACCACACAGAAAACGACTGGAGCAACATTCGTACATTTACAAATGAACACAATATAATTAAACGCCAAATATGCCTTCGGTTCATCTTACTCAATTGCGAAAATGGATGATGGACTCTCCACCGGTTGAATGGGGAATGCGCCAACTACGAGAACTTCTTCTAGGGGCCCTTCGACAGGGCCCTATACCTCAACATATTGCGTTCGTAATGGATGGCAATAGGCGATACGCTAGATTGCATCAAATTGAAACTGTTGAAGGTCATAATTTAGGATTTGAAGCTTTAGCAGCGGTTGGTCCGTCTATCCACTTGAAAAATAGCCGCTCACAATTTGCAACAGATTTTGGAAGTTTGCTATAAAACGGGGGTCAAAGTAGTTACAGTATACGCCTTTAGTATCGAGAATTTCAAACGCTCAAAATATGAGGTAGATGCTTTGATGGAAATGACAAGGATCAAAATCTCGCAACTATCACAACATGGGGAGCTACTAGATAGATATGGCGCTTGTGTCCGTGTTATTGGGCGAAGAGATCTATTGAAACCAGATGTTTTAGAGGCTATAGATAAAGCTGTTGACCTGACCAAGGATAATAATGAGTACGTATATTCCATCATTTATGTTCGTGCTTACCATCAAAAGTTGTATTTTGAATATCTGCTTCCCCTACACTTCTCGCGATGAGATTACTACGGCGATTAGGTCAACTGTCGAAGATTATTCGAAGCCCACAAGTGCTCAGTCCCGGCCGTTTTCTCAAACAAGAATATCTCAGAAAATCCGATTGAAGAATCAGACCACACCAATTCGTTCTTGCTCTCCAACCCCATCAAATAAATTGAGCCTTGATGACTCTATCTCATCTGCTACTACACTTAATCTAGAATCACCCCCAATAGAATTTGATGAGAACTTTGGCTATCCTGACCCCGAGACTATTGATGCGGAAGTGCTGGAAAATCATATGTTCACCGCAGGTAATCCACCCTTGGGGCTCCTCATCCGAACGAGCGGCGTCAAGAGATTGAGTGATTTCATGCTCTGGCAATGCCATAAAAACACTAAAATAGTCTTTCTAGACTGTCTGTGGCCCCAGTTTGATTTGTGGCATTTTTTACCAGTATTGGTAGAGTGGCAGTGGAATCAGAAACACCTCGAGAAAGCTTCAGCTGTGGACGCAAAGCCGAAGATGATTAAACTTAGGTAAAATTGTAGCCCCATTGTGGGATTAATACCTGTAGAGTGGCGGAATAGCATTGACTGCAATAATTAAGGTGATAAAGTGATAACGTGACTTCATTAGTCTAGTGTTAATATGGTGAGGGGAATATGCCCACAAAATCTTTATGGACTAGCCAAATTTGAAATTTTTATGCGCTGTGAGGGCTATCTTCGAAAGTGAAATTTGCAGAGCGTAGAATCACAATGAATTTGAGCATTGGATAGGATAGTGAAAGATGGTTTTTGCCAAGCGATCGGTCGGAGCCCGCCATTCGATAACACCGGTTGGTTCGAACTCTCATCAACATGTCTAAACCTAAACTAGCGGGCGGTCAAGTGGACCGGCAGAATGAATCAATCCACAGTTCCAATGTGTGCCCATTTGTGACCCCAATCTTTATCCAGACGCTCGACCAGATACAAATGAATTGCTCACAAGTCCCTAAAACTTCCGCTTCAATTTTCGATGCTACCTCGGTGCCGCAAGAGACACGCCAAGCTAATACTCTAAAATTCCGCTGGCGTGTGTAGCACTGAATTCCTCGCATACACACAAACTCACCCTACTTATACCAATTCCAATATCTATAATGAAGAGTTCTAAACCAAATTCTACCGGCTCATCTGCGCCCTATATCGCTCGTAGATCACAGCCTTTACGCCAAACTCGAAGCAATCCATCTCGGCCAAACATCTCGGGATCTAGAAATAACTCCTCGAAAACGCCTCTTGGCTCTGAGGAGCTGCCAGCCATAGACATATTTCCCGCAATAACACACTTCGCAGACGCTATTTCGGCCCTTCCGAAGGAGCTAGTCCGGCATTTTACACTGCTCAAAGAAGTTGACGCAAAAATTTTTATGCCAGAAGAAGAGCTTACAAGCTTAGTTAATGATGCTCTCAACTGTCCCTTTCCACCGAATCTTAGGCTAGTAGAAGAACAAAATAGACTTGCTCAAGATTATACACCCTCCAATACATCCACTAATCTCAGTGACTCTTTTATTAACGGTTGCTTAAGTTCCAATAATACCCTCGCGTCAGACTCTGACTCCATCTGGAATCCCTCGAACATTAACAGACGTCAAATTTTTAAAAAATGTGCTCTCACGATGCAAGGAATGCTTGTTTCACTAGATGAGAAGAACCATGTTATATCAACGGCAGGAGAAGCATTGGCAAAACATCTCGCCCGTATAGATGATTGTTTACCATACATTGAGCTTGAAATCAGTGAGGAAGCTCGCAACGGTAGCAAGACTCATTGGGCGTACCCAGGAAATCGTATAGCCAAGACAAACAATAATAGCGCTCTGCGCAAGGAGAACTCGGGCCATGCAATATCTGCTGCTGCGCAGCAGACAGTCTATGATGCTACAACTAGGAGTGATGCGAGAAAGCAGACACTTCTTGAAAAAAAGAAGGGTCGTCAAAGTCACATTGACTCAGACTTTGACGAACAAACTGACGGAAAGCAAAAAGAGAAGAAAATTAATAATACTAGCAAAGCCCGTAAGGCAGCAGAGGTTCCTGTAGGAATAACACATGGCTCTGCAACGCCCAATGGTCATGCACCAAAACGCCGCAAAGTTGAAAAGGTGACGGCAGGTTGTACTAGCAAAGAGCGATCTCCAAGTACTGTTTCCAATAATAATAATAATATAATAATTACGTCAACGAAGGGAAAAACTGTGAGCCCAAGATGCACACCACAACCCGAGGGGCAGAAAAAGCGATCGAGAGCAGCCCCTCCATCTTTTAATATATCGACAAATAAGAAAAGGTAATCAAAAACAACAGTCCTAAAAAACATAACTAACGTTGGCTAGAAACAATACCGTCACTCCGGTTGCGTTATCGCCGCCACTAGCCGTCTCCCCAACGCGGGCCACTTTTTATGATTCGAAAATGAATGGAAACCCTTCATCGCCACCTCCATTAAATGGCGGCAGGCCTCCATCTATAAGACACCGGCGAAATTCAGTTCAATCAAATATAGAAAGGCAACCCCCAACTCCCACGAGTAGGGCGAGTGGTCACTCAGCATCAGACTCTTTTTCAGCGGTAGATATACCTAGGAGGTTTCCACATGAAGACCAATCTGCAGTAAAAGAAAGTAGTGCATTATCAACTTTTGAGGCCCCCAGCGAGCATACGGTGCCTCACGATACCCAGATAAATGGTGAAGTCACGTCAACTGGAAAAAAAAGTGTATTTCATCGCTCTGAAGCAAACGAGGCAAATGGTAATACCACGTCGGCCATACAGACTACAATTATCACAACCACCAAAAGTGGACGGGCGAGCAAAACTTCGACGCCTTCTATACCATCATTTAATGAGCCCACTCGCTCCAGGGTATCTCGTTTACCATTAGATTCTACGAGCAAAAGAAGTCACAAAAGAGGAATGGGGGCAGCAGCGCAACTAGTTTCGACTCAAAACATAGAGCTAGACCAAAGTAAAAAGGAACAGGATGATGATATAGATATAGATGTCGATGAACCTCGATATTGCTATTGTGACAACGTCAGCTATGGCGAGATGGTTGGTTGTGACGCTGATGGTTGCAAGAGAGAGTGGTTCCATCTTGCGTGCGTTGGATTAAAGACGGCCCCTAAAGGAAATGGTATGTCTCATTCACACTCAATCATTTACTTACTGAAATTACTCTACTAGCCAAGTGGTACTGCGAAGATTGTAAAGATTCCACGAAAGGAAAGGGTTATAATAACAGTCGATGAGAAATGAAGGGAAAGGTTAGGGCGCAAAAGGAACTGGATATCCACTAATTTGATGGCGTTTTTTGAGGCGTGATACCGACTGGCTTAGCGATTGATTGCATGTGTAAATGAGATGTTGCTTATTTCTAGATATATACACCTGGATATCTGAGGTCGGGGGAATTTCAATTGACGGGAAAAGTAATCTCAAGGCGAGTATTCAGACGAAGTCATTTTTCCAAAAGAAATGATAACGAGCGCTTGCCTTGAGGTCTATTTACGCAGTAGTTCAAGATCCGAAAAGATGTAATGGTCAAAAGAGGACTACAATTGCAGACCGTGGTAGTTCGATTATTCATCTAGGAGAAATGTGAACGAAATTATCCTTACCCCCATAGTATTTGTACACTCTGATCCAAACGATTTTGGAACGCCAAATTTAGACTGAGTAGGGCTAATAGCAGATAAATAAAACTTACGGGTTTGTAGCCTATTGACTCATACACTGAGTGCAGCCGACACTATAAAAACAAGCCAACGATGGAAGGTGTCGTGGTCCGCCTCCTGGTGGTGTTCTCCGGTATAGTTTGTGTAGCCTGGGCACCTACTCCACTTGGGAAGGAGACATCTCAGATTACATTTCGCGCGGAGAAAAGTTGATGGATAACGGAGGCATGTCTGGATAACTCAGGGTTTTTGAGACGTTTCCCTGGGTGGGTATTCACGGATGAGGGTTGACTTGGGGTGAAGAAAAAGCCACCATAACTTCGCAGTGGTACTTGCAAATGAAATCTGAGGCATGAGTGCTCTTCTTGTAAATTGAGTCATCTTTTCTGTACTTTTCTTTGATATTGTGTCATAGCTAGATAGCTGCATACGCATTTAAAATCTGATGGAAAAAAAAGACTCATACACTGTATATGTGGGATGCTAAACATTGGTCATGTAATCAGGCTCATAATGAGTTATCTACAGATTACAAATGAAGGGAGTTCCGGATTGCGATTCGAATCAGGTTTCGCCGTTTTTTCACATGCATAAATAGTTAGAAGCAGCTTCGTATATTTATATATATTTTTCCTTCTGTCTGTATTCAGTTGTCCAGTTATGACGCTTGATTAGTGCTATCTGTGCATGTTTGATGAATCTTTTGACGTCGGGGAAACTCATGCTCTGGATTTCATTCGCAGATTCCTCTAGAAGCTTTTCTTGCGCACACAGATAGTCGAATCTCCTCCGTAAAAACGCACCAAAGTGACTTTTTAAACCTTTTGGTTATCTAAGCGTGCTTCCGTTATCCATGTATGTCAGCGCGGCAAGAAAAGTGTTTGTGTCTTGCCGGATTCGGAACAGCGATGTCCTGTCTCTAGTGGTACTTGTGCCCAAGCTATTCAAAGTCTACTTGGAAGGACCCAGTTAGGTACCACTGCACCATCCTGACCTTGAAAGAGACGTGCTGCTCAAGAGAATTCTTGAAGGGAGGCATTGAGGGGAGCGCGCTGCCCGAAGCATGAATACTACCATCCTGTAAACATTAGAGACTAACATATTCTTACATATTCCTACACCCAATGGAAAAAAATTCAAAAGAAAGGTATTGTTAGAATTTAGAATAATTGGGGCTATCAAGTAGGCCACGTTGTTGGTATGCACGTGACTACAAATTCTGTACTTAGTTTCACTTCGGTAGTTACTTGAATCAATGCGCTCTACAACCTCAATGACTGAGGGGTCATTATTTACTTAATAGGTATGACAGTTATGCTTCGTGCAGCGCTCGTCACAAGATTTTACTGCCAAGAATTATGTGTAAGGTTGGATCCTCAGGCCATTCTTCTAAACCTGGTTCCTAGGCCAGGCACTCCGAAGCCGTGATACGTAATTCAACTACAATCGACTTTGCTTCAACAGCAAGCCAATTTACAGCTACCACATGCCACAATATGCTCTCGACAGGCTTTACTAATACCCCTGTGACACAAAGTTTGGTTTGTGGAATTGTCGCTACATCTCTCATAGCAAGCATAACAGATAGCAAACACCTCTTTAATATTCAAGTGTCCCCACATCTTTGGCCATACCGACAGCTATGGCGACTCGTAATTTTTCAGCTCTGCTATACAAATTCTACTGAAACTCTTTTCGCGGCTGTAGGCTTGTACAACATGCGGATAATTGAACGCCTATGGGGCCCGAGAAAATACGCTGTTTGTTGTAAAATCCTTAATGGTTGTCGTAGGCTAACTAGATGTAGTCATTTATATTTCTTTCTTTCTCCCTTATGATATTCGTGCCTCCAATGCTACTCGCCTTGATAATTCGACCACTTTCATTCTACCATATCAATTATCTTCCCGCTGGTCCAACGACCCTTATTTTTGCTGTTCTTGCCCAATATCACGCAGCCATTCCTCATGTCTATAAATATCGAATTGCTACATCTGCGGCAACCGCGTCTAACGAATCTTTTGTTGGACTCACATTTTCAGATAAATCCTACCTCTATATTCTAGCAGGGCAACTTGCATTATCACAATTCCCAGGATCACTTATTTCTGCATGTGTTGGATGGGCTGTGGGATATTCTTGGCGTAACGAAGTTCTGCCAAGTTGCCTGTATAGATGGAGGGTCCCGGGATGGGTGGTCGGAATCCGTAACAATCAGAGAGCTGAAGATTTTGAGGGTCTCCGACGGAGACTAGAGGGAGAAAATACAAATTTAGATCCCGCTATTGCCTCCGGTTCGGATCGGGGACCAGGAGCTGAGTCTGGCAGAAGAAGAACCCTTGGGCGCCAACTGTTAGATCAAGTTAGAGGCGCGTTTTGATGTCTCGGTAGTGCTGTAAAGAGGGACTTGAATTAAATCATCATAATACTGTTTGAATTCTGATTGGTCAAATCTGTAAGTCGCTTTTTTTCATATCATTTAATGTATATTCAGCAATAGAGCAATGACACTTGGTTAGTGCTATCTATGCATATTAGATGTCTCTTTTGACGTTGGGGAAACTCATGCTCTAGATTTCATTCGCAGATTTCTCTAGGTTTGCTTGCGCACACAGATAGGCGAACCTCATCCGTAAAAACCCACCTAGGGGACGTTTTAAACCTTTTGGTTATCTAAGCATGCCTTCGTCATCCATGTATATCAGCGCGGCAGGAAATGTAGATTAGTTTTGCCGGATTTGAAACAGCGATTTCCTGTCTCTAGTGGTACTTATGCCCAAGCTATTCAAAGTCTTCTAGGGAGACCGATCCAGATGATACACCACCGCACCATCCAACCATGGCGGTCACTGGACGGTTGGGCTTGACATGATTCGACAAATGGGTGAAGTCTGAAGTGGTCCGGTCATTCAGGTGGTACGAGGTAGGTGTACTTAATGGTAGTTAACCTGATCCAGCCCGGCCCCACCCGTGCTTAAGCTCAAGGAGGAGTGCAACGGTAGTCACTTTACCTAGCATGTTAATGAACATACCTAAACAAACATGGCGGTGTTTATATGGTAGCCTGCACTCTGCAACCAAAGCCTTGCGCGGCACAATGGTTGAATTGAAAAATAAATTTCCGAAGATCAGAGTCAAATTAGTTTAGAGATTATGGTTTTCCTATCAATTTCTAGTCCATCTGTCCTGGTATCTCACGTCCATCCCGAAAATCTGCTCCCCCGAATTGTGCGATATAATTTCTCTTCTACTGGTTTAATTATTGGCATTGGAGTGTATATGAAGGCCTACAGGACCATAGACTGATTTGATGATTTGTGTAATCACTGAAATAAGAATTTACCAAGACGTATTTGTAAAACTGATGAGGTTTCGGTAGGGATCGATCTTGTTTGAAGCAAGAGATTTATTTGGTGCAGTGTAACAGATTATTGCCTCGTGAGTCAACTTTAGAGTTGCGAAATTCGATTGAGCTTGGGGTGGAGAAACCGTCCCCATAACTTCGCAGTAATGCTTGCAAATGAAATCTGAGGCATGAGTGCTCCTCTTGTAAATTGAGGCATATTTTCTATATTTTTCTTTGATATTATGGCATAGCTAGATAGCTGCATACGCAATTAAAATCTGATGCAAAAGAATATCTAAATATCCAGAGTGCACATGGTGCCATATATATCGCTGTGGTGTAATGGTGCGGTGGGGTATCATCTGGATCGGTCTCCCTAGAAGACTTTGGATAGCTTGGTCACAAGTACCACTAGAGACAGGAAATCGCTGTTTCAAATCCGGCAAAACTAATCTACATTTCTTGCCGCGCTGATATACATGAATAACGAAGGCATGCTTAGATAACCAAAAGGGTTAAAACGTCCCTTTGGTGGGTAGTTACGGAGGAGGTTCGTTGGACGAGACTTATCACCCGTAAGTGGCACCTACGAACCTCCAGCTCTCACTGTGAAGTCTGCAGAACCGAGATTGAGTAGCAAAGTCCTCACTTCGACGAGGATTCCCAATCGCTTTCGCGGTCTGTATCGTCTTCATTCCTCAACATATTTCCCTTTCGCCATTGTCATGAAGCCAGCCACGATCAGATGGTAGGGTCGAAGCCCTACTTATCACCAACCCTTGATCATGGAGAAGAAGCCATCTGATGAGTTTCCAGAGCTTACCCAGCACCCGATACGGCGATGGCGGATTGGGTCAAGTCGGCCTCGAATGTTTCAAAGAAGGGAGATATAGATGAATATGCGCACCTCATGTGGTCCCGGTGTCTAGGCCTCGCATGGCTAGGTGTCGAACTAATAGACCTGTATATGAGGCTGAATAAGGCTGAGAAGGAAGCACGCGCAATCAACCGTGCGTTACATAATTCTGGTATTTTGTACATTAATTAGTTGCGCCTACAATTACCTGTTTACCATATTAAGCGCTCATCATGTTTTTACCTTGTGTTTAAAATTTGATAACACAGTCTGTTTGTAAGACTAGATGATGAGATTACGTGGTCTGGTCTATGGGAACTGACTGAAGGAAGACGAGTGAACATGTATTTAAACAGAAGTGAGATCATGGAAGATAGGACAATCAATCATTTTCCCTTCTCTTTGAGAAAACATCGAAGTCCCAATCCTGTGACACTAGGGCTGCAGGTATTTTGAGACTCTGACCTGCGCACGTAGTTTCTATTTTTGCCACCTTTATTTATTCCGGATAGAAGCTTCCGTGGAAAAGGTGGTCGAATTCCATGGGTAAATACTGAGCAGAATGGCTATTCATCACGGGCAATATATCGATGATCTTTGAAGCAAAAAAAGAAGACATGGGTTCTGTGCAAGGTGTGGTCTGGCTCAGAAAGGAGCCCAATGTGCTAGATAGTCCATGACCCAAGTAGTACAGTATAAAACACACACATGTACCGCGGGCTCTGATGCAAAAAAAGAATACTGCGGCCTACACCTTAATCCGGCCCACGCCCCTGCTATAAACTATCATCTGATACCAGATTCTTCCACCAGTCTACCTCCAAGTGCCGTCACGATAGTAGAATGGTAGTTGGTGTGGTTTGAGATTAAGCGACAACTGAGCCTCTAAAGACCTTCGTGTAGCAAGTTAGTCTCTTCCCTTCTCATCGCACAACTCATTTATAATATTTACCTCGTTCTTCGTACCCTCGCCCTGTGACATTTTGTGCGATCTCTTTTTACACCCAGTCGCATATTCCAGCCTGAAGATTTTCGCTTTCAACATAATACAGCGAATTTTCGTATTCAGACCAGCCCGTTTTGCGACCCGGTGAATATATTTGTTAAGAATATCTGAATCAGTAGAAAGTCACAAAATTTATTCGATACCCAGCTTCCAATCAGAAAATCTCCAAGTTTGTTTTTCACTTTCTGCTTCCTGCTTCCAGCTTTACATGAAAAACAAAATATAACCTCTTCACTGCAAATTTCCAAGATGACTACCACGAATACTGAATCTGGTCAGAGAATGAGCGAAACTTTTACTTCTTGTTTCCCAAATTTGTCTGGAGTTCCCACCGAACACGATTTTACTCACACACTTGCGAACAGGCCATTTTCGCCCTCAAAACTAGCAGAAATCTTGAATGTACTCCCAAATCCCAACTTGGATGACGATTCAAAGGCAATTTTCGCCATGCTTCTTGCATTCGAACACGGATTTGAGAAGCTTAGCCTGAAAGCAAGTGAAAATGAGGTGGCATACAATGAATAGCACTCGTGAAATGTTAGGGCACGTAATGCCAGTGTAACTGCGGAAAATGAAGAAGATGTTCTTCGCGCACAACTTGAAATAGAAAGAGCTACATTAACAAGCACTCGTGTTGAGTTATCGGATTCTCTGGGAAAGAAACTTGTAGCAGAAACTCAGCTCTAACTTGCCTTGCTTCAAAATGCCCAAAGCCGCGCCGCAGGAGAAGGAATAGCTGCCCAAGCTCCAACTGCCCGCCGAACCCAGAAAGATCCAAATAAATTCACGGCATCAAGCAACGAGAAAAATCCTGTCCAGCGCCAAGAGAAATACGAGACATTTAAGACCCAAGTACAAGGAATAATCTCTATTGACTTTGCATGTTTCCTCACTGAAGCCTCAAAAATATTGTATATATGTGGCTTAATGTATGACCATGCTTGGGATGCAGTTTGTGATGGCCACAAGTCTATTACTGCTAATTTGAATGATCCCTCGCAATGGCAGTGGCAGAATGAGAATGCGCTCTGGACCGATCTTGATAGCCGATATATCCTATTTAATTCTGCAACGCTTGCAAGAAATACGCTGGATAATTATTCCCAAGACAGCCCGAGAAATGGCACTATACCATATGGTGAATGGAAAGCTGAGTTTATTAGGCTTTCTAACCGCGTAAAGTTAGGTCCACGAGAAAAAGTCGAAAAATGGCGTAGATTTATTGGTATTGATATCAAAAAGATACTTCGGTCACAAGTAGACAATCCGGGCGATGATGATTTTGTCGGATGGGTCTCTAGATGTGATAATATCGCTCGCAATCAGCTTCAGGAGGCTCACTAAGATTCTATAAATCACTCAAGCAGCATAAATAGGAATGAGAAATCCAACGAGCCAGCGCAATCTCCACCAGATGTACGAAATGCTGCTTACAGATCCCATCCTCACGATGATCCCATGGACGTTAGCCGGCTGCAGATTTCTGATAGTGAAAGGCAGCGCCGTCGTATCCAGGGGCTTTGTCTAGCCTGTGGTCAGAGCGACCACATTTCCCGAGACCATCATCGGAAATTTGACCCAATCCCGATGCCGAAAAGTGCCAATATCATGTCAGCTTATAATAGGCAAAATTGCCAAGACGTAGAGAATCGCTCGAACTCCCGACCTCAGAACATTAATTTACGCAGTCATTTTGTAAATCCTCAGTACTTCACGCAGCCTCCACAATTTCCTATGTCATACTATCCACCCATGTACCAACAAATAACGACGCAGCAAACAGCACATTAGCGCTTGCATGCTATTGGTGAAAATTCCGAATATGTATCTGATACCAGTTCTGACCATGTAAGCCCTGATCGAGGCCGAAATAAATCTAAAAACTTGAATCAGCTAAAAGGCAAACCTCTGATCTAAGTCGCGATCAGAGGTGTGATTGGTATGGTGGAGAGGATGAATTAAGCCGAGCAGTGTTGTTAGATGACTCGCCTCTAGAGCTACGCTCTACCAGCTCTAGAAATTCAATGCTGCTTTAAACTCAACTCTCAGACCCGTGCACTGGTGACACTATAATGTTCCATACATCTAGCTTAGTACATAGCGGCTGTGCAGCCTTCGCATTTGCAGACGCAGAGGCAGTTGTAAAGCGCTTTAGTATCTCAACCAAGA